CTTAAAAGCTAAATTAGTCAAACTGATTTTCTGCCAAAAAAATTATCCATTAGATTAGATGGTTGTTCAATTTTGACATTGGAATGGACAGGCTCTGGCTCTTCAGAAGTCAGAATCTATAAGACACGGGAGGATTTGAAAATGACCCCGTCTAAACTTTCATAGCCACTGGATTTTAGCCCTGCCGTGGTATAGGGAGAAGCCCTACTGAATAAATAAATAAAAATTATTTTTTCTCTTCTAAATATATACTTTTTCAGTCCTAAATATAAGATCTTTATACATACGTGTATAATGGTCTTATATTTAGAACCAAAGGAGTACAATGTAATTAAAAATTTGTTTTTGCTTCTGAATATAAACTTCAATTAGTCTTACTTCAAAGTTTACAGTTTTTACTTTTTTACCCGACTTATCCACATTGATTACATAGATTAATAGGAGTGACGGAGGTAATGACTAAAAAAAACTAAAATATATTTATTATAAATAACTAATATATAATTTTTTATTCTTATATAAAAATTAATTAAATATTCAATTTGGTTCAAATATAAAACTTTACTCACTTTGTTTTAAATATTTATCCATTTTGCTTTTAGTTCTCAAGTAATCTCTATGATAATTGCACATACTGAGAAAATTATTATCAGTAGGTAACTCAAATGCGTATGATTATTAAGGATATTTTAGAAAAAATAACATATATTTATTAGGAAGAATAATTAGCTTAACTAATTTTTTTTAATATTGACAAATTAATTATTTAGTACTTATATTAAGGGAGAATTCCACAAAAAGAATCTTGAAATTACTAAATCTCAAATAAGAAATTCCTACAAAAATATATTATTATTTACAAATTTAGTATTGTCAAAACCTATTAAAGTGTTGTTAGGAAACTTGATTTTGGGTTTAATAATTTAAAAAAAAAAAATTTTGTAGAGTTCTTTGTTATATTATAGACCCAAGATAGTATTAATTAATTATCTTAACATCTATAAACCTTATGTTTTTAACATAAAATCTAGTTGATTAATTTGAAAAGATTAAAAAAGTAACTAAACTACTCTAAATTATTTATATTTATTATTTTTCTGCAAACTAATTTGCGTTATTTATATATTAATATATAAACTAATAATAGCCATAAATATTTTAGATAGGAGTGTTCAATTGTGTCTCATTCCATTCTTGGCCCAGTCATTTTGTGACGAAAAAGTTTTCAAAACAAAACAAAATTATTTGAGGACGGGATGAGAGGCGCATGTCTCGTCTTGGTCTCATCCCGATGTATTACCTTTATTTTATTTATTATTGTAATAGTATTTTGGTAATAATATTTATCAATTGTTTTATTTATTTATTTATAAATTATTTTGTCTGGATTACATGATATTCTTTGCGGTGAATGTTTTAAGTTGTTTATTTTTTTGTCTTTGAAGATTATAAAAGCATTCTTTCTTGGTCATTATTTTCTCATATTTATTTATTTTTTCATATAATTTTTATCATAAATTTTTATACTTTGTCTAAAACTAGTTTTCAATTTAAAAAGAGTAAAAAGAAATCCAACGAAAGCTAAAGGGAACGGGACACGGGGCGGAAAAACCGTTCTCTCCAAATTATCGAGACAGGTTCATTCTTGTCCTCTCCTATAAGCACCTTTTAATTTTAGAAAGATCATGTAAATTTTGTTATAATTAAGTAATTATGTAATTTTTGTAATTTTCTCATATTAGTCAACTAAAATTATAATATTATATTAAACATATTGAGCGTAGGGGTAGTATATAATCCTTTGGTCCTATTTATATGGCAAAGAAAAAAGACATATTTTGTTTTATTTATAAGGCATTGAGAGAAATTTTTTATATGAATATATAATTTTACTCTTTATTTATTATTGTATTGACCTTATTTATATGAGGTACAATGCATATTAAATAGAGATAAAATTAAAAAATTATTAAATTTTAAATAAGAGTTAATGAAATATAAAATTTTTTTTATCATGAATAAAACATATTAAAAGTGATTTATAAATAGAATTTTATAATCAGTGTACTGTACACAAAAGACGATAATAGTTCAATCGTGGTCCTTTTCCCTTTTCGAAATACATTCATGATTTGTACAACAAAATCGGAGAAAGAATGAAAGATATACACTAAAGCCTATGAAATAAAACAGATTCACTTAGTGCTGGCCAAAAAAAAAAAACACAAAGAAAAGAAAAAACAGATTCACTTTTTCTGCTTCTCTAAATGAAGCAAATTTCAGAGAATCTGATTGCCCTGTTATGTGTGAATCGGAATTTCTAAGATTGTTGAAGATCGAGAAGATAATCATCAACGGTAATGCTCGATGCTTCTCCTTGAGAATAACTGCCGGCGATTCCTTGCCATAAATAACCGTCAGCACCGCCGCCGCCGTCACCATTCCAGTCCCACCAAAACCCATCATTCATGTCTCTGTTTTCTCTGTGCTCATCATTTTTCTCATTCTTCTCTTCGGCTTCAACAATCCTCTGAGCATCAACTGCCATGCCGGCATTTGAAGCTGCCGCCTGCACCGACCTCGGCGACATTTCTGGTTGCTGCCAGACATAACAAGAAGGCAACATCTCCGGGAGGTTAAGCTTCTCCAACGAGGCCGGTCTCCTCAGGCAGTAGAAAGCCACGTCGTGAGCCACCGCTGCGGCCTCCGGCGAAGTATACGTGCCCAACCACAACCGCTGTTGTGACCCCGGCACTCGAATCTCCGACACCCACTTGCCCCACTTCCTTCGCCGGACTCCCTTGTACTGGACGGCGCTGTCCCTGCTTGTGGCGCTGCTTCCTTTGTCGTCGCCGCAGCCACACCTCATCAAACCAGAAATGGACCGATGTGCGTATGGATTAAATGATTTGTGAGTCGTGAATGGTGATTCTGTGAGTGTTTGTGAGGAGAACCAGAGATCAGAGGAGCGTTAAATAGGCTTTGAAGAAGACGATGATGACCTTTGAAGAAGGCAGGGGGCAAGTGTTAATTAATGAAGGTGGACCATGAGATGAAATGTGAAAACGGAGAGTCAAAATATTCAAAGTTCAAAGCAAACACTTAAATGCTTTGGCCACCACACATCTGATAATCTGATAGTGTCTGTGCTCCACGGCTCTGCCTTATAATTTTTCTTAGGTCAATGAAGATCATTAGTCTCTGTTATCTCCTAAATTAGATATTTTCCCTTGCAATTAACAAATCAATGACAATTTGATAGAAATATTTTAATTAAATGTTTTATTGAACAATTTTTTTGCTGAAAAATGCTGGGAGAAAAATATAATAATGAGAATAAGGATAAAGTAGCATTTACTATACTATACTCTGATGTTATTTCTCAATTGCATGAAACATTCAAATCTTAGTGATGGTACATTTAGTATCTTAATATCATTTTTCTAGTACTTTTAATATTATAATCTTATTTATAATATATTTAGTACCTAAAATTATAAGCAAACTTAGAACTATAAACAAAATTAGTGTGTTGAATGCTACTAAAAAGTAGCATCAAGATATTGGATGCTATTTTAGCTCAAGAATAATGAGGGAAAGAAAAAAAGGAAAATCGTGATGAAGGAATTAATTTTAATGCATTATAAGGTTTGTGTTTATATTCTTTATCTTTCTTTTCAAAAAATATATTTACAATTTTGCCCTTCAATGCAATAAATGAGTAAATGGCTAGAATTAAATGTTATTTTGGAATTAAACCAGCAATAAATGAGGGAAAAAAAAAAGAATCCAAACAGTTCATATTGCCCTCTGTTTCGGTTCTAAAAGTTGTCTTACATTTTAGAGTTTGTTTGGTCTAAGAGGAGACAAGTGGGGGAAAATTTTAACAAGTTGGATTTTGAAAAATAGAGATGGGAACAATCTATTTTATAATTTTAATAAATTTTTCCTTCTCTTCTCATATTTATTCTTTTTATTAATATTTTTATCTCACATTTATATATATAGTTTTAAATTAAAGTCATTACAAATTTTCCTCTCCTTTCATCCTATCCCATCTCTTCTTACGGTGTGGCTAAGAGCAAATAATACATATATATAAATATGTTTTTTTTTGGGTGAAACACATAAAAATTTCTCAAATTTGTAAATTCCAAATCAGAAACTAAAAATGACCTAATCACTTCCTTAACTTTTTTAGAAAAAGTTTAAAGGTGGCTAGGTCAAAATAAAGGTCGTGGGGACGGTGGTCATAGTTTAGCGCAAGTGGAAGGATGAAGTATGAGATACAAACTTTGTGAGGCTCCTAAACTATGTGCTCACAAGGCCCACGCGCGCTGTACGTATTGATGCCACGCTATCCCCTTTAAAATCTTATTTGCGTCCTTATTAGAGGAAAAAAAATTATTCTATTTAAAAGTTACATTATTAAATTTTTATTATATTTTAAAATGTTATTTTCTTAAAATATATATTAAATTGAGATAAATTTGAAAAAAATTTTATATTCTAAAGCAGAGCTAATTAGTTTAAAGTTTTATTTGATTTGTGTAAAGTTGTTTTATAAATAGGAGGAGACAATCATAGAATAAAGATGTGTTAATTAAATATTTTGAAAAAAATTTTACTCTTCTTTAATCACATCTGGTTATTGATATACTCTTGGAATTTTAGACACAATCACTAGTTTCAATGAAAAGTAAAATTAAAAAAATCATGCATCATTGTCTTTTATACAAATGTAAAGATATACACTTCCATCTCCTAAGAATCATGAAATTAATTAAATTTTTTTTATAAATAGGATTGAACAAAGTATTTTTTTTAGTTCCTATTAATTAAAGGTAAAATCATATACTCATACAGTAAATTTAATTATATGACGCATATTAAAAGACCCAAAAAAAAAAACCCTTTCTTCACCCTATATTAAAATTTTAGATTCCCATTATACTAACTGATTTTTAGCCCAACTTTAAAGGTAAAAATTGCTAGATTTGCAAATTTCAATTGCACTTTTCTCCAATTATGCATTATCATGTGTGCACAATTTATTCTTGTAACATTCTAAGTTTTAATTTGAAGATTAGAATTAGTTAAGCTTTGATTATCCAAAAAATTGAGGTGTTAAGTAGTTGAAATTGGATGTTGAACTTAGAAATATTAAGATTAATGATTGAAGGTTATATCTCTAAATTTTTTTGGTAGTCTTGGAAATTAGGTGCTTGCAAGGGCCAAATGATCTTGCTTTTGAGTGATTCTTTTTACATTGAAAGATAAACATCTCATGCTTTTAGAAGAGCCTTAATTTGTAATTTTTAGAGATTATTGGAGTTAGTTATGAATTTTTGAAATTGAATCTCTTATTTATGTTTTTGCTAAATGTTTGCTATAGCAAATAACACAAGGTGTTGGCTGTGTCATTGCTAAACATTTGTTAGATGTTCACTATAGCCAACAACACAGTATTGACTGTGTCGTTTGCTAGATATTCACTATAGTGAATGTATCGAAAATTGATTTTATAAGTTAGTTTTAGATGCGATTTTTAGGAGGTTTGGGGAGAAGAACTCATAGAGCTCTATTAAGATTTGGTGTTTTTGACTTAGAGGAATATATTTGAGCTTCCAAATATTAAAATAAGTATTCATAACCTCATTTCTACCATTTTTTTCCCTAGATTTTTCAAGTTTGAGATAACTGAATCTTAGGATTCTTCAATAATTTTGAATGGGTTGAGATTTTAACCGAATATTTGAATGGGTTGAGATTTTAACAGAATATTTTGAGTTTGAATGACTTCTATGGACTAATCTAAGTGTCTAATCGGTTTAGTTTTCTTGGATTTAGAGTTTTGAGAAATCTAAACCTAGGGTTTGTGTTTTTGAGGAGGTTCATGATAATTAATAATATTGTAATGATTCAAATGAGTTTTGATGATTGGGTTCTGTTAATATGAGTTAGAAGTGATGTTTAATTGGTTTGAAATTTTGATTTGACTTAACTTAAAGCAGGTTTTAGAAGAGCGGTTGTTACAATCTAGTGTCAGAACCAAAGGTTTTACAAACTGCATTATGTTACATTGCATTTAGTGGTTACAATATTCTCACATAATCTTCCCTATTAGCTATGTGTGTATGGCTTCCTTGTTCATTCCTTTGTTATGGTGGGTTGCATCCTTAGATAGGGAAGATGATATGGATTAGGTCTCGACAGACTAACAAGATGATGTTAAACCCACAAACCCAACTAATGAATTGATGGTGCAGATTCTGTTCAACCAAGAGGCCTAACGGTAATAGTTAAAAGATGTGGTGGTAACACTAGTGGAGGAAAGAGAAAGAAACCTAGAGGAAGACATAAAAAGCAAGAATGTCCTTGAAGAATCAGGAGAGAATGGGTATATTGAGCTAATAGTGAGTAATTTTAGAACCTACCAAGATTTTACTAAAGTAACTATAGGAGGTAATGATCTTGGAAGCAGCAACAAATAGATGAGGCTACAATTCCTAAGAATGTCTAAAAGGAGATAGAATGCCATCACTTGAAGATGTTTCCAATAGACTTGGACCTTGTGGGTGTTGAGACCTGGATTAGTAGGCTAGAGAGCATATTTTATGCATGTGGCCATAACCCTCATTAGAAACCATATGTAGCTATTGAGCTTTTACAAGATCGAGCTAAAATGCAGTGGAGAAGTGTGAGTGGCCTTGATGATTCGAGGGTTATTTGGGGGAGTTCAACAAGAAGTTTGTTAGCCGCTACTTTTTCCTATTCATGAGACAATAGAAGAAAATTAAGCTTTACACCTTGAAGCAAGGCAACATGCATGAGGACCAGTTAATTACCAGGTTTATTGATCTGCTGAAGTATGTTACTCGTCAAGAGTAAAATCACTCCTTTTGGTTGGCACAATAGTTGACGAATCATGCTAAGCCAGAGTTGAAGCAGTAACCAGCACCAATAGAAGTTAAGACTTTTGATGACATACGTGTTAAGCTATGGGTTGTGGCTGTAACATCCCATTTTTTTTAATTTATGTTTTTTATTTGTTTGGGGACTTAGTACGGGTAGTGTTATATATATAAAAAATTATTATAAAATAAAAGAGAAGGGAAACAATATATTTAGATGTAAAGATTAAATAGAAAATAAGAATCTAAAATAATTAAAGAGAGCTATGTATAAATATTTAAAGATAAATAAAAGGAGGATAAAATATTTAAAAATATTATATTTAGGAAAGAATGGTTTAAATTTTAAATTACCATATCTGATAGGATTTTGATAATAATAAGAATAATAAGCAAGATCAGATGAGATATAGAAATATAAGATTATATTAAAAAAAAAATTAATTTGAATTTTATAAGTTTTAGGGATATATTTTAGAAACCTAAAACCTACTCCTACTCCCATCTAATATCCTTATCAGCCGCCATACTCCCAAAAACCCTTCTCTTTTCTTACTTCTTCTAAATACATTCACGTTGCCACAAGCTCTGGACGGCTTTTGGGAGATCTCACGCAGGTGTGAACTTGCTCCTTCTCTTATTCTCTTTTATTGATTTCCTCTCTCCCATTGTCTTTCCCTCACGTCTCTCTTTCTTTTTTGTGTCTAATCATCCTTCCTCATGTCAGAAGCATCTCACGCACATGGTCACATATAGATACATATATTAGTAGGTAGAGGGGAGTGGTTACACACACACATGCCACACGTACACACACACGCACGAATTGGTAGGTACGGAGGAATAGGATGCACTTGAATAAACAAATTAAATAAATTTTTGATGGTGATATACTTGAATTAAAAGTAATAATGTCTAGATATGTTGTCAAAGTTTGAGTGAACTCTGTTATTTTAGTCTTCAGCATTTTCTTT